CATCCTTCGTTATGTTAGTCGTATGCTCTGGTCTATCGTAAATCAAGCAACAGGTTGTACGACAATCACCAGTGGAGCCGATGCCGTACTTGTTCTCCACACTGTTTGCCACGTTTAGTGTTCATTATGCCTGTACCATGTTTCCTCATGATGATCCATATCTTCGCCCTCACCCTTACCAATTTCATCAACATAAAAAAAAAACATTTTACTATTGCTTCATGAAGCAATTACCGAAGAGTGAGGGTGAGGGTGAGGGGCATACGACTAACATAACGAAGGATGTCATACACATCGGTCATCTGTTTCTTGGAAATCGCTTTCCAGTCCAGTTCACAGTCGGTGACACACATGCTAAATAGATGGCGATGGACATGTACGATGCTCTCTTTTGGGTGCTAATCGCTGGTGTGATGTTTTATCACAAGATTTTTATTACCGTTTGAAAAGAGCATGAACTTGTGAACTTCATTTAGCAAAGGTGGTCGATGTTTACTCTTCGGTAATTGTTTCATGAAGCAATAGTAAAATGTTTTTTTTTTATGTTGATGAAATTGGTAAGGGTGAGGACGAAGATATGGATCTCAGGTATCACTGCCTCACTCTTCTACTGCAAACCAAAGTTGGCGAATGTCAGCTTTAAAAAAACAGTGAAAATAAGAGTTTTTGGTACCCCTGAGTATCAAGGCTGTCGCTCCGCGAGGAAAGGGTTGTTGGGATCGAGCAATGTGCCAAAACAACGAATGTAGCCCTTACTCGGACTCTGCTGACTATGCATCGTATGCTGTAAAAAAAAGAACTATTTTTCAGAACAAGCATCAATGAGTTGAAGTGATGAAAGAATAGCCTATGTAAAACGACCTTTAACAGTAAATCATGTTACTTGAGGTCATCCACCATGCACTGATACAAAAGATTGATCTATGAATAAGCTTAAGTTAGGTGAGGTTGGGCGTCACAATGAAGATAAGCTGAGTGATCTTTTCTCTTCCAGCATCATGATGGATAATCACGTAAGTGTTCGATTTTGTACAATCGGGTCGACAAGCGACCTTCCAAGTGGTGGTTTTCCTCGACGCTTGACGAAATGCAAGAGTTCAGGCAATGCAAAAATGCACAGAAATGATTGCAAACGGCAAACGAAATAAACCAGATGATTAATAGTAAAGATTCGGTTTTTCTTTGTATAAGTTAGGATAAACAAACGAACTTAATATTACGAACAAAGTGACTATCGGCAACTGTTCTCATCTGGCAAGTAAACCATATAGGGAGACCTGTTCGATATTGCTTCGTTTGAATGAAGTACTGTTCATTCCGCCACAGCTTGGTGAACATCGATCATTATTATCCTAGCGTTTCAGTATAAATGAGAGATCTCGATCATTGAAAGTTTATTGAAGGGAAACGTTTTTTTAAAATCATCTACATAATGAAGTGAGTTAAGATAAAAGCTTGATCATGCGGATTTTAAAGACTTGTTTGAGAGAGATTTTTCGATTGCACTCGATCAAACTCGACAAATTGCCAGCGTGAAATGATGGTGTGCATGTAAACGTCGGTCTTTTGCGCAGGTGAGACACAGGTCATAACCTGAATAGGGAGTTGTATTAGACAGCGTGAGAGATCCAGTGTTGCCCATCCTTGCTTGAACTGTCGCAGTCAGTTCTACCTGACGAACATTGCGCTGATTATTGTCGGGAGTTATGAAGCCACTGCATTCCATGCACCGCATCGACATTTCGCCATTTTCAAAGGTACGCAGGCATCCATCGCAAATCGCTTGACCACTCAGCTCACAACCCACTCGGTGAGCATATCGACTAAAAACAAGCTGCTCCATATATTTTAATGATGTTTCTACTGTACATTGAGCGCGCTTTTATAATAAAATGAATCGTTGCTTACGTCATTTTTATCCAAGTGCAAGTTGGAAAAATCCCGAATATCCCGTCGTGAATACAAAGAGTCAACGAAGGCTCGTCACTTCTCTGTACGTCATGCATGAATAAATTCGTCGCTTTTCTCCTCTTACCAACCAAAAAAGTTTATTCTCAAGCTAACAGTAATTTCCAACTGTCTTCATGTTCGATTTTAGTCATTTCATTATACGCTACTATAAAACAGTCTATAATAGTATTCCTTGCTTTCGTTCATGAAAGAGCTTTGGTGGCGTCTGTCTTGCAATCGCTCGAGAAGTTCCGATTGATGTTTTTAATCGATTCATCAATCAATTCATTATACGCTACTACAGTCTATAATACGGCTTGTCCAAGGGTGACGCTGTGACATTTTTGACACAGTAATTTGAGCTTTTCTCAAAAAGTGTATAAGCTAGAACCGTCGTTCTTGCGCCGTTCGACGCTGGCATGACGTGAGTAGCAATTTATGCGGTCATCGGCTCGCTGGAAGACAGGACTTGCGAATCTTCAACTCCCAGCCAATTGGAAGCAGAAACTTCCAATGCACTTGATCGACACATAGGAAGGCCGTTGCTAGTACAAATGTTCGGTAATATTTTCTCGAGAGCAATTAATGTAATGTTACGTTCATTCATTTGTTGTCCAAGTTCGTTGTGATTTCTGCTATCTGTTTCTGTTTCCATATCTAAACAATCGTTGAGTAGAGGATATAGCGTGTATTGAAAATGGATCCTACTATCATCGATATTTCCTAAGCCATGTAGACGACGATGAATTTCTAATGCTGGAAATGGCTTGTCACTCGTTTCATCGTTGCAGTTGCTGTCCACGTTCATGACTGACCGCCGATAGTAAAAAATCTAGAATAAGTTTTCAAGACACACCTATATCCTAGGATCTGATCAACTATCGACAAACGAACGTGTACAAATTACATCTACATTTTCAACCAAATGAATAAAACTGAAAAAGTAGGTGTTGTTCTCGTACGCTGACAGAAATGTATATTTCAGTTGTCATCTAAATAACAAAGAATATGGGAATGAATGAACGGTAGTATGAATACGCAAGTTTCTCGTTTTTCTCGCTGTCGGATAAAGTCAAGAGACGATGAGGAGGCTTTTTATCAACAAGGTAATCATTCATTGTCAAAGGAGTTTCCGGTCGGGGTATCATTTCAATATCGTCTTCTTTCATCACCGGATCGAAACCAAGACACTCTTTCAAGATTTTCACATAGGTGCTCTTAACTTTGGCTACCGATTCGGCATCCCACGACCAGGGATACGTAATTCGTCGACTGTTTGTTCGTTCGCCTTGTTGCTGTTCTTCCAATGTTACCTACTGTTGATGGTAGTCAAGAATACGTTGTCATAGATTGCCATACGGTACGATCACCTTTCCATGCACCTTTCCGGCACGTCATTAACGCTGCATGTAGTCATTTCGATGGTTGGCGTGCTCCTGTTTGATATTCAAATTCGTCAGGTAATTCATATTCGTCCGTGGCTGGATGGTGATATACGCTGGTATGAAGTACGCCTTTATCGTGACGCAGTTCCACATTGAGAAGATAAACGCGTTTTCCAATGGACGACACGATGGTAATACGCGTTTGCGGTTCATTTTTCGATCCATTCCAGGTTAGAAACAGATCTTCGCGACAACTATCATTTCAGACATGTACTTAGAGACACACACGCACAATATTACCTTCCAAAGAGCTCGTTCTTGCTGTTCGACAATCGAACATGTAGATACAAGCTAATGGCAGTATCAAAAGTGAACCAGAACCACCACCCATCTATTGTCGAAAGAGTTGGTTTTGATAGACGAAAAAGTGATTCTGTAAAACGAGACGAACGAGTCGAGGAATTGTTGCACGGATGAAGCCATCGGTCAGCTGCCCAGATCCGTGAGCATCGAGAAAACGTTCCAGTGCTTTGATAGTCCCGTCATGAGGAAACACGGTACAGGCGTAATGAACACTAAACGTGGCAAACAGTGTGGAGAACAAGTACGGCATCGGCTCCACTGGTGATTGTCGTACAACCTGTTGCTTGATTTACGATAGACCAGAGCATACGACTAACATAACGAAGGATGTCCACTGTTGGTCAATCTTTGCAAGTGACAATGGATTCCACTGGTAACCCTTCCTGTGCCGATAACGAATATCATTGACGCAGCTCTATCAACAGTGACCGTTGCTGTGTCCGGTCACTCAAGATTGACCTGGCCTCTCTATCTCGCTTCGCTCAACGCGGGGGTATAAAAGGCAAAGAGGAACGAGAAGAGAGGAGGCTTCGTCTAGTTTAGACTCAGAACAAGCTTTTAAATAAAGTTTTAATTTTTAAGATTTTCACACAATTCTAAGAAAGTGAAAACATTTTGCACTTCGAATTTAGCACTTCGAATTTAGGGCCTTTTTTTGTCACAGCGTCACGCGCGGAAAACGATTCGCCACTTATCGTAAAGTAAAAAAGAAATGAAAAGTATGTGCATGTGTAACTAATTAACGCGAAGTGTGAAAGAATGTTAAACGTAATAAATTAAGAATATTTTATAACTGGACATAGTCTCGGTAGTTCGTAAGGTATCAGTTTAAAACTTTTCTCTTCACTATCGGTTATTTGGCATGAAGATCATATGAGGTAGAAGTTTAACGACTTTTAACTCGTCCTTGTAAATAAACGATATAAAACACAAAATACAGAGTATTAGTCTTTTTCTTTATTCTTACCCGAAAAATAAAACGTGCCAATTTTTTTGACTACTGAGCGATCTGTTGAAATAGCTTCAGCTATATTTGTCAATGGACCAAGGGCTAATATATCAACTTTTCCCTGTGAATGTTTTAATATTTGTACAATTAATTCCACGGCATCGAATGGTGATGGTTGTAGATAGATATCAGCTGTTTGATTTAAACATTTTGGTGAAGTTAAATAAGTATCAATTGGCGTTTTTATATTTGAGCTAACTGTTGCACCAGGAAATAGTATTGGTGTACTGTAAAAAGGTATCCAGTTCTTTGGAAAGATCTAGCTCAGTACTTAGTTGTAGATAAATTATTCAATTCAGTTTATGAATATTTATGAGGTACTCTACTGCTTAATACAACCGCACAGGGAACAACAACGTGGACATTAAGTGAAAAAAACCTGAGTGAGCTTTTTAATTATTTGAAGAGAGGAGCATATACTTGGGGAAAAGACAAATCTTTTTTGCTGGGAGGTTTTTCTCTAACTCTTTTCGTTGCTGAGATAGAGCATTTCCAAGATTTAACTAGATTTGAGCGACCTCTGCGAAAAAGAGCCGGTAGCGGTGAAAGTAAGAAGATTGTAGGGATGAACTTATCATATTCTGAAAGAGGAGAACTTCCTCTATCTATTCGTGGAAAAAACTTTTGTTTTCTAAGACTTTTCTCTCCTACGAAAAATGCCTTCTTTCTTTGCTAAGTATTTTCCCAACAGGCGTTCTTAGTAAAGTGACCGCACCATCCTTAACCATCACTTGTTTTCTCTGACACTTTTAAGGTTTGTTCTTCTACGTATGAAGCATCTGTACTGTATACACAAAATCTCCAGAGAGGAGATATGAATTTTACAAAAACCTCCGATTTCTTGAGATTTTCGTCTCTTTTCCCGACGAGTAAATATTTTTTTGAAAACAAACACTATAAATTCGGACTCGTCGTAAAAAACTGCGTTGAATGGTGTATAATTCATCTGAACTAAGACGCATACTTTTGAACTTAATTGATTTTTGAGATTTTGACATAAGCAGATAGAATTTTTTGTCTGAAAATTAAAAATTCAAGATAACAAAACACGAATGCATCTAAAACATTTTTTTTTCAGGTTTTCGACGATGCTGTATCCAACTGAGTGGTTTTTGAATTCTAAAAGACTTTTCTAAGTGGTTTTCCAGAGATCGGATCTCTGGAAAACCTCTGAGAAATCTTTTTCAAAACTCGAAAATAATTCCATTCGAAAGAGCACACATGATAACCTATAGAAAAAGGGTTCGAATATTTTTAGACCACTTAAAAATAACATGTCCACGTGCTTAGCCAGAATTGCCCACTGTGAACCGTTCATGTGCATATTGTGTTTCTATTCATCTGTACTTTATCCTTCGGTTTTAAAGTTTACCTAATCCGTGTACGTCTTAAAATACTTTATGAGTGTTTTATTCCTCCGATTTGTTTTCTTTTGTTACCTTCGGCCATACGCAACAGCAATACCATCTTTACAGCCTAATAAGCCAAGTAAGGTTAACATATTTGGTGCACTATAGAACGGATCACTATGAAAAGCAAAAAGAGAAAACAGGAAGTGAATTAACTAGGAAATGAGAGATAATGTATATTAACACAAACCTAAACCCATCGCCGACTGCAGTAATAGCCACAACATCAATTGTCGGTACCTGTGAAAAGTAAAAAACAAGAAAAACGTTATAGTGCTGAGAGAATCAAACACTTACATTAATTGCATATGCAACAGCCCAAAAGTCATCAATATCTGTGTCTGTATCAATAATAACTGGTCTACGATTGCTGGCTTTATTTTTTAGCATACGTGCTTTAGCATAGTGACGCTCATCAGATGGCGAAAGTGGCTTCGTGTGAATATGAGTAGTGAGCTCGATCATCAATAACAGTATGATATATCGAAACATAGCAAACCTATAACAGAGTCCAGTGATTTGAAAACATTTCATCTTAATTGACAGACAAGATTTAAATATCATCAGTAGTATTTAGACGATTCGATCGCATAGTAGTGACAAATACATCCATCCATCACCCTCTCCTTTTCAAATAGTGTTCACCTATTACATTACTAACCTCCCTTCTCTCCCTTTCATCTGTTAAAATAAATTTTTTGTACGCAAAAAAGTGTGTGCGCTGCTGAACGTAACGGAATTAAACAGCCGGTATAATAGCTGGCGATGTTGAGCAGGGTTTCTAATGAGAATTCACAGCAGCGCGCATACAAACGGAGTAATTCGTGGATTTTGTCATTCTATCTTTTTCTATTGGTTGATACAGAGCGTATTTTCAATTTAGTTCGCGTACCATACGCTTTGAAACAAAGGCGTACGCGTACAGTTAGAAACACTAATGTTGACCTAACAATCGATGTTTTATTGGTCTATTTTCACTAAAAGACCTCTCTCGGATTTTCTGTTTCATTTGATTCCAAGAGTTTGCTCACATTTATGCTACCTCAAATGTATAGCTTTGGTATTATAATGCATCTCAGAAATGCTGTCTAGTTTTTAAAAAGTGTATCATCATCTTTTATTACTTAAGTTCTGAAGTAAATAAAAATGGTGGATGATATTAGCCAACCATATTCTTTTCTCATGGGAGAATCAGCATTCTCGGAGCTCGTTGATATAACAACACGTTCTTGGCTTTATTGATCTTGTCTATTCGCAGCCATTCGGCCTTTAATTTCACGTTTGCTTTCACGAAGAAGCTTTTATACTATTAACAGCAGCTTCCCAAAGGCTGTTTGGAAAACTGATATAAAATTCATCCTGTTAAAGTCTTTTTTTGACCAATCCAAGACGACTAGACTGTAAAAGTGATACAGCAAGCGAAGAAATCATGTTCACATCAGTGACTATACCTGTAATTAAACAGCTTCGGACACTCAAAATGGTATTATTTTCACGTTGAGAACTGATTATCCATACCTTCACTAGACTTCTCTAACAAACAGGAGAAACTCGGGTGTTGTTCTTAGTTAAACTTTGACTTTTTAAAGTAAAAACTTGATTACACTTCTAAAAAGCAAAATTTTGGTTTGCTATCGAATAATCAAACTGATCAGTGTTACCTATGTTATTCGGAATCTGTAACTGATTAAACGCTTCAGCAAGTAGCATAAACAGATATCGGTTTTATTCGTAGATGAAGGTAATAATAGCGTGCTGTTTGCAGGTGTAATTATGTATTCGCTTGAAACGCAATACTTGTTTTCATTCTAAAAATTTGCCTTCTTCATGATTTCGTTTAGTTTTATCCTTCGATTAGAATAATAATCAGATTTCCTATGTATGAAAAGAAATATGATAAGTTCTATACAGGGACTGAAAAATATAATCATTCACCCGTAGTCCAAACCACAATTATTATTCACAATTTCAAGGTACTCATCTTTATGTAAGTTCTCTGTCTCCTTCAAGTTCGGATTATCGATTGTATCAAATCTATTTGGATCTAAAATACCATTAAACATTCATATTGTTGAATGATGTAAAAATAAACTCATTTAGTACTTTTTTTCTCCTTTATAGCATTTTTGTATTCCTAAAAACGTACGATAGGTACAGATTTCTCTATTTTAAGCATTGGAAAGAGATCGCAACAGCGAAAGTATAATATCAGAAACCAATTGGGTACTAGCCGTTTCTGTCTGCTATCGATACACAAAGTGCAGTGGTGCAGTGAAAATCTACTGACTGAATTTATAACTTTTGGCAGCTGTCTGTAAAGACATAGTCTGTCGACATCGCAACTTGTGAGCAGCCCTCTAGTTGCCCTCTAGTTTATATACGATAGTGTAAGTTGGTCACATGAATTACCATTATATGAAAACTCATTTTAAAATTAAAAAAAGGAATCATTCAACACTCCTCAACGCATAATATTTCATTTATTAACACCTTGTACAATAAAAAAACAAACGGTCTCTGCAAAATATACATTATTGTTTTACAACTAAAACTAATCGTAAAAAATATAACGATGGAAAAATGTCAACATAATCAGAAGAAAACCAGTAGATAGACATTTTATTACACACGCTCCTTTTTGTCTACTTTTTAGGACGTAGCCGACTTCGGAACTAGAATATGAAACTTGTCGGCATAGCTAGGGAAGCCGTCAAAATTCGCATCGGTGAATTTATTCACCGGTAACTGGATTGGACAGAGAATTGAGAACAGTATTATTCAATATGCCTGAAAAAAAGAATATGGAACACTATCGTATAACAGAAAGAACATGTACGTATCTATTCTTTTCTGTACTATACTTGACTTGATGTTGTTTTTCTTTCGATGCACACTAGTGAGAGATATAAAGCAAGAAATGGAGAAAAGAACAAATTTTATCCTTTCATCCAAAAGAAAGATTCCCTTCACTATGAAATTAGTGTTTATTCTGGTAACCTCCCAGATTAAAAGTTAACACATTTGAAGATAGCCTTCTCCAGTTCTTCTGCCAGTTTGTAGTACAGAACTTCTACTCTATGCCAAGCAATTTCTTGGGGAAAGGTCTCGTTCAGTTTTTAAGTTATAGAGATCTCAATATCACAGACTAAAGTTAATAAAATGTATGGATTTCACTAGAATTTTAGAAACTGCACGAATTTAGACTTTCTTCATCACTTTTTGGAACATTATAGTCAGAGAAGCCCAACTTCTACATTTATTTTTTCCAGTAAAATCACTACAATTCAGTTTGCTAACTTTTATCTTTCATATTGGCAGCTGTATTTCTTAAAAACTAAAACAAACCTGTTTCGGGAAAATATGGCAAATATATTACAATTTGTGTATTTCAAATTAGTGCAAGAAGTGAAAAGGGGTCCTCTCTAATTATTCCACTTTTTAATTAGGGAAATGGGCAGAATATAGAATTAATTTACAGCTGGGGCACATTCGATAATTCAGTCTTTTCCTTACTTTGTTCGTGAAAGCGAAAACGTTTTGTGTGATCATATACCAAAAAGAATCAGAATTAAGAATTGTATGCTCGAAGATAAAAAAGAACGGTTATTTTTTTTTGAGAGAATTATTTATACCCAACTAGATAAAAATGTATACAGATGATGCAAAGTATACAAATTACCAAATATTATATACAGAATACACAAACTATGTGTAATTTTTTAATTTAGAAGAAAATGAGGGAGCTATAAGATAGTATAACTAGGTTGTGTTATCATGCAAAATTCAGACAAAATTTCTTTCAAATAGATAAGTCTGGTATAAGTGATCACTATTACGTCTATTTACAGTAAATGCAATTTTAAGAGACTTATAATTCGGAACATTGATATATTTTTCAGAAACAGGTATGTTTTAGTTCTTAAGAAATAGAGCTGCCAATATGAAAGATAAAAGTTAGTAAAATGAATTGTAGTCAGATCAGAAAAAGTCGATGAGTCTGCACACCGACTTCCTCTCAAGTCGAGCTTTCCGAAAAAGTTGATGTTTTTCACAACACCTTCACTTCTTTCTCTGAAAAACTCGTTGATTCTCCAGAGGACCTTCATTTATCTTCGCGAAAAACTTCATATCTTTCCACGCCGACTTCATCTTTTCCGCTCAAAAACTCGATGTTCTCCAATCGAACTCCCCGGAAAGACTCCATGTTTCACTTCACCGTTCCTGCTCAAAAACTCGATTATTCTTGACAGCGATTTACTCTTTTTCCATCACAAACTAGGTCTTTCTGACAAGACAAAAAGTGAGTGTTTCAAAACAAGGACTTCGTTATCGAGTGTTCTTTGTTGAGTGTCTTATATTATCGAGTGTTTGAGGGAGAAAGACGAACTCCTTGTTTTGAAACACTCACTTTTTGTCTTGTCAGAAAGACCTAGTTTGTGATGGAAAAAGAGGAAATCGCTGTCAAGAATAATCGAGTTTTTGAGCAGGAACGGTGAAGTGAAACATCGAGTGTTTCCGGGGAGTCCGATTGGAGAACATGGACCTTTTGAGGGAAAAAGATGAAGTCGGCGTCGAAAGATACGAAGTGTTTCACGAAGAAGTTATTCAAAAAATGCCGAGAATCATTCCTTTTATGAACAGATAGCCATACACTTGAGTATACGCGTGGTATATAAAAAACATCATAAAAGACGATAAATATCTTTCTGATGTTTATATGCTGTGACATATATACTCTTCGACTTATATGAAGGAAAAACCAACGAAAAAAGCGTGACGTTAATCCAAACGGATAACAATCTTAATATATATGTTCTATAATTATATAAAACGTGGAAAAATGTATATACGTCTGATTTGCATAAAGCCTAGTGAGGATAGGCGTATATATAAAAGTGATACGAAAAATTGAGTGAGTTAAATGGTAACTTTAGAGTAACTCCATTACACAGCAATTGAAAGAGAGAGTTAAGAGATGTCAATAAAGTTGCTGTGGCTTTACTAATTTTGAGCTCAGTCTCTAGTTAAACCTGAAATGAATTCCATCATGTTCCCGAAGAGAAAGCCGGGTAAAACATATGCAATTTTACGTGCTCTGTCTAATGAGACTAAAATTAGAATGTAGAATTTGGTAATTAAGTCGAAAAACGAGTTTTTGCTTTAATTAAGTTTTATAAAAAGTCGTCTATTCCGGATTGTGCATGTTTCCGAAATGTCAAACATTCAAATTCTGATAGAGCTTAAAATTTGACGTATACTGGTAGATTATCAGTATGTGATTGAGAGACACCTTTTCTCACTGGAATCACAAAATATAAAAATCGACTAAATGTTCTTATATCGATGACACGATAGGAAAATAAGAACATGTTTTATCATATGGGAAGAGAGAAAAGAGAGGAGAAAAAAATACATTTTCTCTTTTTCACAGTGAACATGAACTTATATATACAGAACGGAAAAAGTAAAAAACTTAATTTTTGAACGTTCAGAAGCATTTTTATGCAAAACCAATGTGATATTCGGAATCTATGCGGAAAACTGCATCAAATGATATATAATTCGATATGTTTCGAGAAAAAAAGTTTTCGTCCAAAATTTTAGGCAAAACAGCTGAGGGGGACCTCAGGCAAAAACTTCGAGGGAAACTTTTTGTCTGCCTTCAAGCTCAAACTTAGGTG